TTTTTTCTATATATTCATTTTTATTGATTAATACCGTTGTGTTCCCTTTGTCTGCTTTTGTTGTGATCACGTTGTTCGCCTTTAGTTTTTGTTTAAGAACCCTGATTGTTTTGTTTTCGTTACCCTGCTTTCTTTTGTCATTGGATTTTGCATTTTTTTCGATTATATGCCTACATAGGTGCCTGGTGTGATCCTGCTCTTCTTTTGGGATCAATGCTATAGCCATTTCTGTGTCCACAATGGTGTGCTCCATTTCCTTCTTTTTATCATAGTTTGTGATGTTGTGTTTAAGACCTTTCCTCAGTATTTCTGCCTCCTGCTCATTGATAGGGACCGCTGTTAAATTTACAAAATTTGAATGGAATTGCGGTTCTGCTTGTTTTTGGTTCTTTGCGCCCTTTTGTTTTCTACTGAGGTCTTCAAGTTTCTGTACTTCTGCCCCATGACTTTCTTGATGTTTTCCTCCATTTCATCTAATATCTGCATCAGTGTACTGGTTGGTAGGAGTCCCGCTAGTTCTAGGTGAATTGCCAATAGCTCCGAGTTTGTCCGCTCCCTCTTGCCGTGTAGGTTTCTTATTTCGTGGCGAAGAAAGCTGTTTTCTGCTCTTTTTAAGATTCTCCGCTTATTTTCGGTGTTTGATTTTAGTTTTATTTGCGCGAATTTCGGTGTAATATTCAATTCTAAACATTGCTTGTTGAACCAGATGTTAGCCTTAGTAGTATGTACTTTCAGTAGCCGTCTTTGGTATATTATTGGTATGAAGATGGCACAACGCCGAAACCGGTTTGTCTCCAAACCAAATTTGACAAGGGATGACGGAAAATCGTTCCACAATACATCATACATATATGTATTTGCAAGTCGCGCGAAAAGATCCAATTATATGCTCGAAAACTGCATATGCTTCTCTACAACATGCGTCTAATTTCAAGACCTAACGAACCGGTACTCACCCTTTTTACCTTCCTTTTATTAGCTCGGGATGTAACTATGTGATATTGATGCGCCTAAAAGATGCAACGATTTCTATTTTCAAGATACATACCTGATGACAGTACGAATGGCAATTATAACACTATGGGACAGTCAAAATCGGGATGGGATGAAACCAACGGGAAATGTTATATCGGTCAAAAAAAAGTTATACGTTTCCCGGCGTTTCGCTGGGTCACGTCTAGGAATCGAGATATATATATAACTATCATATAGGGGAAATGGTCACCTTTGGTGGTCTTTTTTTGACATAACTCGAGAACCACTAGTCCGATTTTGCTCAAACAAATTAAAAAAAATTAAAAATTACAATTCCTTTAATCTGTTCATATAACGTTTTT